CGTATCCTCTCAGCCAGCTGTCGCTTACCAAACTCCCAAGCGTTCAAGAAACCCTGTTCCGAGAGGTCGATGTTCTTCATCGAGGTCATGTCTTGCGCCGGGGGCTTGCTGACACGCGAGGCAACAATGACGGGGTCGGTTTCGAGGATGATGCCGTCGTCCACTAGCTCGTCTACGGCGAGGGACTATGAAGGTTAGTTGAAGCAAGATATGGGAGTCGTGACTACTGTTACGTACCACGAGGTCATAGTTCTCGATAACGGTGCGCTTGTCGACCGAGTTCCTGCGACGTGTTAGATGAGTCGATGAGGCAGTCTGAGGTAGACGTACTTCAGGAGGATGTTGAGAGAATCTCTTAACGCAAGGACGACGCTGTACATGTGTTAGCTTCAGCCCAGCACTCTGCCGTACCATGACTGTACCTGTATAGCAAGACTTCGTTCTCGTCCGCGCTTCCAACCACGTAGAGCATGACGTCCGACTCCATCTTGAAGACAATGACCTTGCCGTCATATAATATAATGTCCGTCGTCTGCTTGGCCGTCTTCTCTGTGCAACGTGTCAGACGAACAGGCCGGTAGCTTTACAACCACGTGATGTACCCACCCAGCAGTCCCTTCTCAAAGGCTTTCTGGTCCTTCACTGTCTTGTACGCGATCTGGCCGGGGTAGTCATTCTGGTGGCCGGCTGGCGGGTGCGGGTTCGAGTAGTACTTGGTGAGGATGCGGGAGCCGTCGTCGATGGCGAGGACCAGGATCGCCTGGACGCTGAAGAGAGAAAGCGGGCGCGACATGGCGGAGGACTCGTGGACTGTATTGTGTAGGCGTCAATGGGTCGGCGCTGTTGTGGACGCGGTGGGGGGTTTTGGGAGACAGCACAGGTGTCTGCTTGCGGAGAAGCGGCCAATCACGGAGGTCGTGGGCCTGGGCCTAGCGCGTCGTCTGAACTTTTGAGAGGATGCGACTGACGACTGCAGCGGGCGCATCCCAACCATTGAAGCCACCATACCGCAACTATGCACAGAATATCGCGAACGTCACTCGCGTCTCTCGTGTGTCCATCAGCGCCATTCCTTGCGCCTCGTCTTCTCCGCACTGCTGTACCCGCCGCAGCGGCATCAGTACAGTGCCCGCCATGCCCACGCTTCCAGAGGGCGACGTATGCGACCGCGAAGACAACGAAGACGGCAAAGAAGAAGAAAAGCCTAATCAGGAAAATTGATCACAAACAAGGGAAGTTGGGGACCAGACCTCCCGCTCTATCTGAGGAAGAACAAGAGGTAAGACTCGTCACAACCTCCGGAGGCTGCGCTCACAACACCAGCAACTCCGCCTAGTCAGGAAATTCCGACAAGCCTGCGACCTCCGAGATGTCCAGCATGTCATGGAATGCTACCCCACACTGCTCGCAGCAGGCCTCTTCACTGCCTACGACACCCGGCGCATCACCCAAGTCCTGCACGTTCGCCTACGAAACGAAAACACTCCAGCCAAGCGAGACGAAATCTTCCCATTCGTCCAGCAGGTGGTGAGCGATCTACGCAGAGGAAAGCTCGAGCCCCATCCCTACGCCTACGTCCACCTGTTCGGCATCTACAAGGACTGCAAGCGCTTCGGTGAGGGGTATGCCCTCTGGCAGTGGCTGGTCGAACAGGACGAGCAGCACGTGTCGCAGGCTGCCTATGGTGCAGCGATTGAGCTCATGGCATATGGACGACTTATGAGCCTGCCAGACATGGAGAATCTCTACGCCGAAGGACTGAAGCGCTTCCCTGGCACCTTCGCCGAGTACCATCTCTCTCCCGACGCCATCGTCCCCGACCGAACCCGACTCACTACAATCTCCGGCATCCCTACCATTCTCCTCCAAGGTATACTCACGGCACGTATGCTGGCGCGTGATTGGAAGAATGCCTATCTGGCCTTGGACACCGCACTGCGCATATACCCCACACAGACCCCGCCACGCTACTTTGAACTCTTCATGACGGAGCGGCCTATATCCGAGGGCTACACAGCCTTCATGATAGCCTGCCGAGCTGGCATCGCCATGAGGCCGACACATGTCACCGCCCTCATCACAAAGCTGCGAGCTGCGATGAAAGCCTCGCAATCCATGGCCGATCGACTCATGCTACTTCGCGCCATCGCAAATGCGATATATGGGCACCTAGAAGCCGGAGGAAATATTGAAAGTATCCACGTGGGTTCTCTTTTCCGCGCCTTCGAACAGATCTTGCCAGAACCCATCCCGGGTGAAGACTACACTGGAGAAGCTGCGAAGATGCGTGACACCCTTGTTGCCACAGCGCATCAGATGCTGTCTGAGCTTATACAAGCTGGCGTGCCACCTAGCCTTCAGCCATTCGAGGCTCTAATCTCCATCTCGGGCAAACTGCGTGTCCCAAGTCTACTGGAAACTACTCTTCAAGACATGGCAGCGGCTGGTCTCAGATTTGGGCTGATTGGAAAAAGAACAGCCTTGACGACGGCTGGCTTGCTCAAAGACAAGAATATGGTCAAGGAGTACTGGTCGAACATTGTGTTGACAGCCGAAGCGGACAGTGCACAGATCTCGTTTGAGGATTGGATTACCTTCACCAAAGCTTGCAGAAGAGCTGGCCTCGGCGACTTCTTCCGAAACCAGATCTTGAAGTTGCCGTATGCCATCAGCGACAGCACCGAGCGCTATCTCATCCAGCAGATCGAGATGCCCGAGACTCCATCAGCACTCCACGAAGTATACCAATACACAAGCATGGAAGATTTAACTGCAGAGCTGGACGCACTCAAGGCTCAGATGAAGAATATCGAAGCTGTCGTCATGTCTGGCCAACCACTCGATCTCAGCAACTCCCCATTGTACATGCATTTGGATCCCGAACATCCTTCTCTAAGCAATATGAAGGATCTACGGGCAGTGTACGACGAGTTCACCCTCGACCCGCACCAGCCACCTCTACCGCCACCCGCACCCGATTCACCAGAGCAGCTCCTAACGAGCACCACCGGCATAACTCTAGATGAACTTCGATTCCAGAACTGGGTCAGCATTCACGAGATGATGGACTCAGCCTCAGAATACGAATCCGACCTTAAATACGCCGTCGACTCCGCCATCAAAGCTGGAACTCCACTGCAAGGTACCCCGGAACTCCTCCGTCTACGCAAAGACCCCGGTCCAAAGCGCTCCCAAGCTGGGCTGAGTCTGAAAATCAAAGAGCTGAGAGCGAGCCGCCCGGAAGATGTGAGTATCTTTAGGCGAGTTGGATCAGAGACTCCCGAAGGTGTTACTATTTCTAAGCACTTTGCCAAGAACGAGGAGCCGATTGTAGCGGGTGAGAAGGGGGCGCCGAGGATTAGGAAGTATGCTGGGCTTCAGTCAAACCATGATGCTCCATCCAATTTTCTACGGAGGGCGAAACGCAAGGACAACAATAGTATTGAGGCAGTAGAGGATGCGCTTACGGCTGAGATCGCACAGGCTTCGCCGCGCGACAATTGAGTCGCACGGTGAGAGGCGAGTAGTTACCTGCAGCTCGAAATAAGGCCTTTGCGTTCATCTATGTATAAAATATCATGTACAGATACCATGGAAGACATTGTAATTTCTTACTTTTCGAAGATTAGAGGATCAGTCCCTTCGCTACTATACTCATCCACGATATAGCATTCCAATACGCCGAGTAAAGCGCCGAATGACTTCACACCCACGTTGCCCTTCGTTTCACCATGCCATCCGTCCATCCCTCACCCCACGAATGATTCAGCCGCCTATAGGTTTCCAGATACACACATTTCCACCAACGTTCACAAAACCCTGTCATGTTACTTATCCCACATCCCACATCCACCATCCAACACCCAACGCCCACGCCTAGAATCTCAGGTAAGCTAAGCTCATCTCACCTCACCCACGTTCCCCGGGGAACGTTCGCCTCGGACCAGGCACGGGACATCCCCCGAGCAAAACACCAACCGACCGTGCGATGAGTAGTAAGCAGTTCCCCTCAAGTACAAGTACCGCTACGGCTGACTGGGCTCTACCTTGTGAGTCACAGGTGCTGACGAGACGGTGTTAGATGGGTGATGACGTGGAGTGGGATGAAGGATTTAGAAATGGATTTAGGTTAGATTCGGTGTAAGATTCAGTGAATATAGTGTGGTGCGTGTCGGGGTACTTGGTTTATAGGGTGTGGAGGTAGTCCGAGTAGTGTGGGGGTAGTGCGAGGTTATGATGTGGGGTAGTAGGGTGTTATGATGTCGATTGTAAGGTGACATGGCCAGAATGATGTCTCAGCGTAGCGTGGGCGGATACAAGCTGAGTTTGAGTATGGAAATTCAGGGTTGAATGCTTGTTCTGAAGAGACGTGCTCGACTGTTTCGGGAGTGGGGACCAATGAAGTTTGTTGGAGAGACTGGGGGGTTGTGGTATGGGAGTGGGAAGGGGTTGATGACGTTGTCTGGGGAATAGGTTGTGTTGTGAGTGAGCTTGATAGTTTGTGGTGACGTCGTTTGATGGATGTGTTGTTTTGCGTGCGTACCAAGTAGTTTCTGATGACGCTGTTCAAAGGACACGTTCCGTTTTGCGTGCAATTAAAAGTCTTCAATACTGTCATTGGACAAATAGGAACGGGTCGAAAATGAATATAGAGTTGGGTATATATGTAATTGATGCATATCTCGTTACCGAATAGTAAAAGCCAGCCAGCCTCGCAGCCATGTAGCCGCCTGCCCAGGAACCCACATCTAAACCCTCCTCCAAAAAAATGTGCCAAAATATAGTATAGTATTGCAAGTTGCCATAATCAACGGGGAATAAGAAGCAAAACAAAGAGTGGTGAAGAATACTGTAAAACCAAGAATCAAGACACGCGGCGGTCAACGCGCAAAAAAGACATGTCAATGTACAACCCGAAGCATCCAACGCCACATCAAGTACCCAAACCAAGCCCGCTAAGTGCAAAGAAGTCAGAAGATGGAAGAGGGGAGCGAAGCGCTCTAGTTCGAGCCTGAGCTACCCCTCCGGCTGTCGGCTGGTGTGCTGGGGAAGCTGAAGTCGACGGGCGATGGCGGTGGTGCGGGGGTCTCGTTGACCTCCATGGAGCGGGAGCTCAGGCTTGATGATGCCTTGAAAGCTGCGCTGACATCGTGACCGAGAGTCGAGTTTGTGAAGATGGAGAGGCGCTGGCGGGGGTTGAATGCGGAGGCTGCTGAAGCGGGCATTTTGGTAGTTGTTCGTGTGATTTTATGAAGTTGAAGGATGGTTCGTGTGTGGAGATCGATGTACTCGGTACGTAGACGACGATGAATCTTGCAGGGAGTAGCAAGGAAGACTGGCGGGTAAAGTGGAGGGTGTCCGGAACAGTCGATTAAATAGTTCGCAACGGAAGCCGAAAAGCTGGTACGGGCCGGAAGTATTGATGCGCTGGTGCAATGCAGGGTAGGAAGTGCAAGTTTCGCTCGGGGGAAGGCGCAAAAGATATGTGATGTGCTGTCTCGGGCTGTGACAACAACTAAAACTTCGGGGGGCTGACTCGGTTACGAAGACGGGGGTGTGAGCCTAAGGAAGGGTGAGTCAGATTTAATATATCAGGGTAGAATGCGCTGAGGGCGAGGGGCTGTTTGCGACAGGGCTGATGTGTGGTTTGTGCGTTGGCCATGCAGGGCCGCCAGATTTGGCGGAGCCCCGGACTTGAGGTGCTCGGGTATGGGGAAGAGTGTTGCGTAGGGGGCTGGGCTTACTTTTTGGTAGGTGCGTGTCACTGGGCGAGGCGTGTTACACAAGTTCGGTGTTGTAGAAGGCTCGTGTGTGAGGAATGCTTTGGTGGTGTGTTTGAAGAAAGCAAAGAGGTTTGACGTAGATGTGGTTTTTGAGTGTCAAGTAGTATTGGGCTTTGGGCTGAGTTGTACTTTGCGATGTGTTGGAGAGGGCGATACCGCGCCGAAGGGGGTAGCTCTCTTATACAAGACGGAGTACAAGACCAAAGTACTGATACGATCGCTATTCACCGCCGAAAAGACAAACCCTGACTCGCATCATTAGCCAGGGTAGTAACGGAATCTCGGAAGGGCCATACGTTTTGAGCTAAAAGCAAAAGCATAATCAGCAATCAAATGCGGCGGCAACACGGGGAAGCGGACGGTTGCAACTCCTTGCTTCGCAACCATCGTTGCACCTGGCGCGCAAAGTCCACCCCACGCCCTGATCCTGTTCCAGGGTCGCAGAATCAAGGCTGTTCTGGGGCGTCCTGTCATCATCGACGTGTCTGAGACGATGTTCTCGAAGCGAGGATGCGACAAACAAGGCGCACAAGCCCTCAGGCCCTTCTGCAGCCTCCTACGCATTCCTCGACGGCATCAGGAGCTTGCTGGGTAAAGAAAGGATGCCTATCGCTGTATCGTAGACGGCCCGAACCAGCAAACCAATACCTTGCGATACACGGCGGCGGTCCGCGGGTAGGAGCCGACAAGCGTATGACGTGGGCCAGCAAGACACCACAGTGTCCTTTGGGCGGCTGTCGCAAGCAAGGCATCATCAAAGCCGGACCGAACAAGTCAATTCTCTGACCGCTTGTCCGATATGCAAGTGTATGCACATCCCACGCGAGGGCTTGCGGCAGAGCAAGATGGGGTAAGTGGAGCTTCCGGGCTGCATTCCCCGGATACCAGCAGGCTGGGATTCGCCCACTCGAAAAGGAAGACGAGGCGTCTGGAACTTTGTCTCTCCACCTTTGATCAGCGGCATGCGCATTACTGCTTGATTTCTTGATGCCCATCCAGGCACAGCCTTTCGCATTCGCAACGGCTTTTTCTACCGCTTATCATCGACTCATGCTCCCTGTGAGTCGGACGCACCCAGATAGGCAAGCCGTTTTGGGTTGCGACGCGGAAAATAATCTCTGCAATGCAACGGTTGCCCGGCTGGAATGAGCCTTCGAGAACGCTGTTGGAAGGACGCTCGAGCCGACAGGTGTCACGACCAAGGCGTCACTGACATTTGTGCCATCGTGCCGCCCCTTTTCTACCGGTCGAAATTGCGGCAGAAGAGTGACATCTCAGATCTCAGACCTCTCTCCGTCCTGCGTTGGCCGCCCTGCGCAAGGCTAATCCAAGTTGTTCTCGCCAAAGGTCCAAGGAATCGCTGATCGAAGACTGATCGAACAGGTTTGGCGCCGCAAAAACTCGTGTCAGCGCCAGTCGCGTTGCGATCTCGATGCGCGACGCGTCCTCTGCAAACAGTTTTCTCTCCGCATCATCCGAACCATGAGTCCATGTTGTCGTTGAATATATCGACATTATTACCGGGCGACTATTCCTGGCGCGAACTTTCTTTGCTTCTTCGTGTCTAGCAATAGCCTGAGCCAAGCTCGCCTGTCATGGCATCATATTGTCGAGACGCCGAATAGGAAGCCATGGAAGCCGCGGGTTAGACGCGAGCTAACGCGACCTCAACGTCGTTTCATCGTTGGTAATACGACGTAGCCATTGCTCTTTGGCAACATCCGACATGTTTCGTCCAAGCCTTATCCTCGCCGCCCGCTTTCCCCGGACTGGCGTATAGCCTGATCTGGGGAAATTGATCCTCGTCCTTGCCTTAGCCCTTGGTGGAACAAACTTCCCCCCGCTATACTGCGCACCGTTGCTCACCGGGACCACGGAGGGCAAGTCGTACGATGCCGCGCCGCGTCGCGCATACGTAAATTTGTGTCGCATCCGAAAGCGGGTTGTGCCATTAGCGAGATGGTGGTTCTGAGATGTCGCTGTGGTTTCCCGATCGTCTGCAGCGTCCCGACGATATTCCGCGCGTTATCTGACCGACTGTTGAAGGGCTTTCACCGCAACTTGATCGACGACGCGACGGGAAAAAAGTGAGAGAAAGTGGAGTAGGCCGTAGACGAGGTGTAAAGAGAGGGGAATGAGGCTTCGCGTCAATAGGCGCACCTTCCTTGGGTGGTTTTGATAGTTGAGGGAAGCGACACCTACAGGAACCACAACCGACCCTACACGCTGGACTCACTTCAATAACCAAACGTCAATAGTGAACGATTCTGGTATGTTTGCCCCGGTAGATGACATCAGGTAGGCACATGTCGCTTTGCGCTATTAGTTCAGCAGCATGGTCTTTGTCACTGATGCAAGCCTATGTCGTCGCGTTGGTGAACGCGGGCATGTAGCGGTATGAGAGCGCTCGCCTGACGACCGTTTGCTGTCGCGATTTGGGGGGAATTCCTCTCACTTGCGCCTGTTTGTGAAAACCGGCGCTGCAGCCTAGAGTCATTTTCTTCTACGTCTGCGCACAACGATGCAATCTTCTCTCAATTTCCTCGCCTCTCTTTTGAAGCTCTGAATCTGTCATCATCATCGCCAATCGAACCAGACATGGAGTCGGCCGATCAGTACCGGCAGCGGCTGCAATCACTCCAATCTCTGCCCGAACCCGAAGCATCTGAGGCACTGCGCCAAGCGCTACTCAAAGGTACAAGGTCTGGCGGTCTTACATTCACAAGAGCAACTATCTTCCACTACTTCGAGCACGTACACCATTACTTCGGCTGCCCAGAAGACGAACCATGCGACAAGGACATACAGAAGGAACCATTGTGTTGGGAGAAAGCCCTCATGATCCCGGTGAAGCACATCATCGATGAGAACGCCGAGTGCGATGCCCTGGTGGCCAACCTTATGGTTTGGTCAACTCTTTGTTATATCGTAATGAAGTTCGAAGGCGACATTCGCGCGCGTTGGCTCAAGAAGTCTAAGGCGCAGCGGAAGGCCATCCTCGAAAAGGCTTGGCCATCACAGCTACCAAAGAATCATCGCCCCGATATCGACAGGTCCGTTCTTAATGCGTGCCCGCACCAGAGGCATTCGCATGGCCTGGCGCAGTACGCCTTTCCCCATCTCAACCTTGAGGATCTCACCAAGCCGCATCCGTTGCTCATCCTTCTTAACGCACGTGGCCGACACGCAATGTGGAAATTCGCCCTTCTGGATTACGAGTTGGCTCCTCTGGTTCATATACGATCAGCACTTCTCGAGAAGACAAAGTACACTATGCAGCTGAACTTAGGAGGATATGGGCAGATAGTTCAGTGGAATACGGAAGAGGACGCCGCTGAATCGATGAGCAGAGGGGATACCATACATCCTTTGCCTGGCTCACACATTATGGCGATGCAGAACATGGTATACCAATTCCTTCAACTCTGTGTTGGCGAAATCTTGTCAGATAACGCTATGGTGCGACTAGCCATCACCGAGCAATCGTGCGTAAATCTACCTCAGTTCGACGAACCTGCTCCTGATTCACCCGAGCCTCCAGCTCTCACTTGCAGCGACCAGGACTTCACCTCGCTCAATGCTATCGTACGCGAAGCATGCTATCGTGTATCCACATTGGAAGATCTCGGTCGACTCGAAACACTGGTGTCGGCATGTCAGAATGCGACGGAAGACCACATCTGGTTGCTCCGAGAGGATCCAGGATACTTTCGAGAGTCTACACTTGAATGCAAAGAACATCGGCCTGAGCTACTGCCAGGTATTCGTTGCAAACAAACACACAGGAGTGCGCGCAACGAAGTTCTTTGGCCTCGTGTGTTACATAGTATGGCCACCGACTGCTACATTGATCTCTTCATGTGGAACGAACTACGTCAACGTATATCTGAGCTCAATCGTCTTTCCTTGCTACACAAAGACGGGCTCGGGTTTGGGACGCTTGGTGGCAAAGAAGAGCTCCCGAAAGACTTCTCAGAGTCACTCGTTGAAGCATGGTCTTTTCTAGAATTCTTCCAATTGGAAATCATACAAGAGCTGAGGGCAGCCTGGTCATCCTCTTTAGAAATTCGCGCCTATTTCTCCCAAGAATGCGATCACAGTGTGGAAGATATGGTGGTGGGTATCAAATTCACCGGCAAAGGTAGTCGCAAACGAGACAAAGAACTGGAGCGCGTCTTCACTCTTTTCAAGTATCTTTGGGAGCCACCCGTCCGACAGTCGTTAAAGGTGCACACTCTGGTGGAGGCACTGGACAACCTCCTGCAAAATAACGAGCGAGCGAGGGACTTGACTTCCCCATTCGCAGCTTCCCTCCTTTCAAAGCTTTCCATAGTCTCGGAATGTCTTCGTCAACTCAGCTTCTTCCTACCATGGGCAAAGCGAGTTCAGTACTTAGCCAAACAGCGACAGACAGAGCTCATGACAGCCTATGCTATCAACCT